ATCTGCGTGTTAGGCCCTGCATTGGATTTGGCAGCTGCGACGGTGTGCATTGACGGGGGGTGCGGTGGAGCTCAGTCGGGGTAATAAAGTCTAAATTGTGTGACAAGAAGCGGCGTGTTTTTGAGTATGGGTTGTGTTTAAAAAGGAGCCGAAGTGGTATGTTGGGAGTTGGTTAGGAGGATTTGAGTGGCCGATATTTGTTGGAGTGGATGGCTTTGCATGTGGCAAGACGGGCAGCTAGTGTTGTAGGAAGGTCAGGGGTTGTATATGTTGAGCACTGTGTCAGTTTGTGCGTTGAGCATGTATTTAGTGGTGCGTTTGAGGAAGCGATGCGCTGGTGTGCGTGCGCGCAGGTATTTAGTGGTGCGTTTGAGGAAGCGATGCATTGGCGTGCGTGGGCGTTAAGGGCGACTGGATACTGCGTGCTGGTTCATGCTAGGCTCTGTAGCGTTCAGCGTATATTGCCAAACATCAGATCGGGAAGAATGCAAGATCAGGCGCATCTGCGTGTTCGTCCCTGCAGCTGCAGCGCTGCGCATTGAGTGGGGGATGAGGTATAGCTGTGTGGGGGTAATACAGTGTGCACTGCGTGAGAAGTAGCCGCGGGTTTAGGGTAGGGGTTGTGTTTAGGAAGGAGCCGAAGTGGTATGTTGGGAATTGGTTAGGAGGATTTGACTGGCCGATATTTGTTGGAGTGGATGGCTTTGCATATAACAAGACGGGCAGCTAATGTTGTAGGACGGTCCGGGGTTGTGTATATAGAGCAGTGTGGCATTTTGTGGTTGACCAGGTATTTAGTGGTGCGTTGGAGGAAGCGGTGGGCTTGCTTGCGTGCGCGGCAGTTGCGCCGCGGTACTGTTTGGTGTTTCATGCTAGGCTGTGTAGCGTTCAGCGTATATTGCCAAACAGGATGTGCGCATGAATGCAAGACCAAGGCTTAGCGGCGTGTTAGAGACTGCACTGGATTTGTCTGCTGCAGCGGTGTGCATTGAGTAGGTAATGGGGGTACTCTAAAGGGGGGTATTATAGTATAAAATGTGTGAGAGGAAGCGGCGTGTTTGTGAATATGGGTTGTGATTAGGAAGTACGGCTTGTGGTATGTTGGGTGTTGGTTAGGAGGATTTGAGTGGCCGATATTTGTTGGAGTGGATGGCTTTGCATATGGCAAGACGGGCAGCTAATGTTGTAGGACGGTCAGGGGGTTATGCATGTGGACCACTGTGTCATTTTGTGGTTGAGCAGGTATTTAGTGGTGCGTTTGAGGAAGCGATGCGCTGGTGTGCGTGGGAGCTGATGGAGGCTGGATGCTGTGTGCTGGTGCATGCTAGGCTGTGTAGCGAAGTCGAATATAACGGCGCGTCCTTCACGCGTACTTGCAATATGAAGCGCAGCTGCGTGTTGAAAAGTGCATTGGATTTGGCAGCTGAAGCCCTGCGAATTGTGTGGGGATTGGGGTGGAGCTAAAGGGGGGTATTATAGTATAAAGTGTGTGAGAAGACGCGGCGTGTTTGTGAATATGGGTTGTGATTAGGAAGTAGCCGAAGTGGTATATTGGGAGCTGGTTAGGAGGATTTGAGTGGCCGATATTTGTTGGAGTGGATGGCTTTGCATATGGCAAGACGGGCAGCTAATGTTG